AGAGAGAGGAGAGAGAGAGAGAGGAGCAGGAGATGAGAGAGAGAGAGAGAGAGAGAGAGAGAGAGAGAGACAGGACAGGCAGAGAGAGAGGGAGAGAAAGAGATGGAAGTCAGGGAGGAACTGCAGGTACAGTCACACAAAAGAATGTAGGCTTAATAACCCCATCCATCCATCTTTCTATCTATAACAATAGTCTTCATTTACAATAGGCATAATTGTAAAACAACATATATCTATTGCAGTTATGATGTCATAATAACATACAATTGTATAAAACACAATTTGCTGACATCTTTGTTCTCTTTTGAGAATCAAACAAAACAGATTTAAATAAAACTAAAAGTGCAAACAAACAAGTGAAATGAACTAAATGTCTGAATTGCTTTTAATTCACTGGCTGGAGCGACAAGTGAACAACGAGGGAGAGATTGAACAAAGAGAAAGAGTGGAGGACAGAGAGAGTAATGAACAGGAAGAAGACAGAGAGACTCAAGGAGATGGAAGAGAGGCTGCAGGTTATGGAAAGGAGAGAGACATGGAAAATGAATGTTGACCATGTTTTGTGATCATTTTAGCCTCTTCTGCTTCCAGATCATTAATAGAACATTCAACTGATCCTTATGTATTACACTTTCAAAAATAATTGATGCTGACATTGTCAGCCCACTGAAATAGTTTGAAATCAATATATTATCCAATGTGTGACCCCCACAGGACTTAAAAAGCACCTAACTAGATAATGAAAATCCCCAAAATCTATAATCGGGTATCCCCCCGAACCCCCCTAGCATGTTTGGACCTCGGTATTTAGGAAATCCTGGATACGGCCCTGTATATAACGACTTCCTTTTGCACAGTAATAATGTCACTCAGCACTTTAGTGAACAGTTTGCACTTTATTAGCATGATTTACACAGTACAGTTTGACATGGCCTATTTGCACATTTTTATATAATATATACTATTTATTGATGTAGTAGTTGTTAAATGATTAAACCGTATTATTTGGAATGTCGTCTGGCAGATGCTGGTCGGTTCTCGGCTCCACCTGAAAAGAGAGGGGAGTTATAGCGAGAGCGCCGAGAGTGTTTATGATTGTGTAAGATTGACAGCGGATGAGATTAATCATTGTGTGCAGATGTCCTGTTTTAGCGTGTATATGTCATGACATTAAGTTGCATTCATTGTAGAAGTGAACACTGTGTAAAGGTTACGTCCATCGCTTACCCATGCTATTTCGTCCTGTGTCCGCTCCAGTGTGTTTGGCCAAAAGGTCCTCGGGGGAAAACAAACACTGACTAAAGAAGGTTCCGGGACGAACCAAGTGGCGGGATGGGCGTAGGGGTTTCTGTTGTAGTTGGGAATGTATTTCTATTATGGTCAGTTATAATGTGGGTTTTGGGGTTAAATTAACAGCTGGCTACAAACCACTGATCATACATGCACAGAATATTATAGATTATCGTTATACCAATTATGATGACATGTGTATTTATAATGGCTCACCTGTGAATGGTTTCTCCCAATAAGATCCTCTATAAAAGAGCCAGTCTTCAGTCGGAGGAAAGTGGTGAACAGCTGGCTGGCTGTTCTTTATGGTGGTTGTGAAATAAAGACACTATGGTGTGCAACTCTACCTCCTCTCGTGTTTGGTTCTTTCACTGGAAATCCAGCCGCTAAAAGGGTCGCTATCTCACAAATGGTGTCAGAAGCTGGGCCCCACACTACAGTGAAAGGATGCCGAGAGGTGGAAAAAAAGATGATAAGGAGGACCAAGAGGGGAGAGCCGCCTCGTCAGTTGAGCCAGGCAGCACAGCGGAGTCCAAAACTGAGGGGAAGCTGGAGGAGCTAGCAGAATTGGTGACGACGCTAGTTCGTGTTCAAGCAGCTAAAGATGAACAAGCAGAGAAGGCGTCATCAATTCAGGAGTGCCGTTGGAGAAGCATGCAGCAGCAGTGTACTGAGATACAGCAGCAAGTATCCAGGATAGCACAAGAACGGAGACAAGAAGATGATACTCAGGACAACAGCCAGTTTCACGGAAGAAGTGAGTATCAGGACAGGGATTATGAGGGTCCTGCTGGTGGTGACGATGAGATGTTCAACCAGAGGAGACACAGTCTCCAACAACAGAGGGAACCATTGGCCCATAGGGAACCCAAATTGCTGCCGTTATCGCCAGAGGATGACATTGAACAGTTCCTGACAACTTTTGAGAGAATAGCATATGTCTGCCGCTGGCCAAGAGACGGATGGGCGGTGCGCCTTGTTCCCTTGCTCACCGGTAAAGCTCGTAGTGCCTATGTGATGATGGACATGAAAGACTCTGACAATTATGGAAAAGTTAAAGCAGCAATTTTGTCAAAGTTTGAAATCACACCGGATACTTACAGAAGACGATTCCGGTCCCTGAAGATCGAGTCTGGCGAGACTCCACAAGAGCTGTATGTTCGTCTGAAGGATCTCTTCGTCAAATGGGTAAAGCCAGAAAAATCGACGGTGGAAGAAATAACGGAGACCATTATCCTGGAGCAGTTCCTGAGGATGCTCCAGCCTGAGCTAGAAATCTGGATAAGAGAGCATGACCCCAAGACAGCAGCGGAGGCAGCACGCCTGGCAGAGGTTTTCACATCAGCCAGGAAAGAGAGCCGGGATGCCACCTGCAGTTGGGAGAACAACCAAGGCCCAAACCAAGCTCAAAGGCCGAAAAAAAAGAAATTGGGTGCTATCATTGCAATGCTCTAGGTCACACCAAGCCATATTGCCCAGTTTTAGCCCACACCAAGCCATCTCTCCTGTGTGCAGTTCCTAGGTCAGACAGGGTCGAGAGACTAGGTGGAAAAGGCAGGAAAGTACCAGTCTTGATCAATGGGCAGCGGGTAGAAGCTTTGCTGGATACAGCATGTTTTCAGTCAGTTGTTTTGTCCAGTTTGGTCCCTAGGGAAAAGTGGAGTCAGGATACTTCAACCATAAGTTGCATTCATGGTGATCAACATGTTTACCCCACAGCAGAGGTCTATCTAACTGTAGCAGGCCAAACCTTTCTGTTGCCTGTAGCATTAGCCCCAACATTGCCATACCCAGTGTGAAGATAAACTTCTGTTGTTGCAATGCTGAGGTAGAATGAAGGAGTCTGGAACCGTCATTAGCCAAAGTACTGAGAGTTTTATTGATCACAGTACATTAATACGGCCGGGGAGATCACTTAGTTTCACACTGTCCCGTGCTCCACCATCATGATCTCTGCCCCAGAATAGCCCCAAACACGCATCAACATGAGGAGAGGCGGGCTAACAGAAGCCCGCGTTTACCTAATTAATAGCAGATGGGAGACAATAGTCTACTTGTCTCAAAGAGATGCAGACAAGCCTCAACCCTCCCCCACGGATATAGGAGAAGCGTTTGACCTGTGACCTCAACTTACAGAGGAGTCTTTGACTGATAAGTCAAACACATGTTTGCAGTATCACAGAATCTAAGAAACTATAGGAAACTCTATAAACAGATCAGATTAAAATATTCTCTTACACCCAGTCATTCTTGGTAATGATCTCCCTACACTTTATGACCTAGTGCACAAGCCAGGTTGCAAGTCTGACAGGGAAATATGTGAGGTTGAGAGCCTTGGGGCAACGATCAGGGAGCCACTTCGCCAAGGTGAGGTGAAACCAGTTCGACAGCCAGTCAAGCCTTGTAATGTTACCACTAGAGGGCAGAAACTCGCTGAGATGCCTTTTTATGGGGTGGACTGGGAGACAAGTCCAGGTAAACCGCCCAAGACTAGAGCGCAGAGAAGAAGGGAAAAACTGAGAGGTACTCTGGAGAAAGGGTCACAAGAACCTTCAGAATTACCAGATCTGCTAGACTTCGACTTTCCCCCAGATATAGGGGCAGTACAGAAACTGGATGCTACACTGACGCATTGGTTTGGGAAAGTAACAGAGGTTGTGGAGGTTAAGCAAGATAACCATAGCTATCTGGACGAGGCCACCTACATAGTTAAGCAGGGCATCCTCTATCAGCGCAAGGGAAATACTGAGGTTTTAGCTCTGCCAAAGCAATTCAGAACCAGAGTGATGGAGTTAGGCCATTCAATTCCATGGGCAGGTCATATGGCTTTCCAAAAGACTTTGCACAGGATTGGAAGGAGGTTTGGTTGGCCAGGGATGTATACGCAAGTCTCTCAGTTCTGTAGGTCTTGTGAAACCTGTCAACTTACCTCATCAAAGGGAGTAGCCTGTGCACAACTTCAGCCGTTGCCTATAATAGACACATTTTGAGAGGATAGCCATGGACATAGTAGGACCTTTAGAGAAAAGCTCCTCAGGACACCGTTACATTCTTGTTGTATGTGACTATGCCACCCGCTATCCAGAAGCCTTCCCTCTCAGGTCCATCAAAGCCAAGCAGGTAGCAAATTGTCTTGTTCATCTGTTCTCCAGAGTAGGCATACCTAGAGAGATCCTTACAGACTGTGGAAAAAATTTCTTGTCCAAGTTTTTGAAGCAGGTTTACCAAGTCTTAGGTGTGAAGGGCATTAAGACCACCCCTCATCACCCCCAGACAGATGGGCTAATCGAGCGCTACAATCCAACTCTCAAAGGCAGGCTACGCAAGTTTGTCTCCAATACAGGGGCCGATTGGGACCAATGGCTTCCGTACCTGTTTGCCTATCGGGAAGTTCCACAAGTGTCGACAGGTTTTTCACCTTTCGAGCTCTTGTATGGCCATCAAGTGAGAGGACCCTTGGATCTTCTTAAAGACCACTGGGAGATTCCACAGCCAGGAGGAGCGAATGTTGTCTCATACGTGATCAAAATGAGGAAGAGACTTGAGGAGATGACAGCACTGGCACATGAAAATATGAAGTCGGCACAGCAACAACAGAAAACCTGGTATGATCGGAAGGCCAGGGAGAGGGTTTTCAATCCAGGACAGAAGGTACTGTGATTGTTGCCAACGTGTGACAGTAAGCTGCTGACAAAATGGCATGGACCTTATGAAATTACCAGGGTTGTTGGTAAGGTCACATATGAACTATATATGCCAGAAAGAATAAAGAAATATCAGACTTTCCATGTCAATCTGCTCAAGGAGTTCCAGGTTCGTCAAGAGCCTGTGTGCCAGTTGTTGGTATGTGCTGTCCAGGATGAGGAAGCAAATGAGAAGTTCTTTCCTGCCACCACTGCAACAGCAGAGCCCTTGACGTTGGACCTGTCTCATCTATCTCCCACCCAGCAGGAAGGAGTAAAGCCACTCCTTGACCCGGATCTTTTTAAAGAGACACCAGGTTTTACCTCACTGGTCCAGCACAGGATCCGTCTAACAGCAAATGCTCCAGTTCGGCAGAAGAGCTACAGGATTCCTGAACGGCTAATTCCTGTTCTACAAAAGGAAATAAAGATGATGCTGGAACTGGGGATAATCGAGGTCTCCTGCAGTGAGTGGTGCAGCCCAATTGTACTGGTTCCAAAGAAAGATGGATCACTTCGATTTTGCATTGACTTCAGGTACCTGAATGCAGTGTCTAATTTCGATCCATACCCAATGCCTCGAATTGACGATCTGTTGGAAAGGGTTGGCAAAGCTCAGTACATCACCACGTTGGACCTAAGAAAAGGCTACTGGCAGTTAGCATTGGCACCTGAAGCTAAGGAGTTGACAGCCCTTAGGACGCCTTTTGGTATGTATCAGTTCAGAGTCATGCCATTTGGTCTCCAAGGGGCGCCGGCAACATTCCAAAGACTGATGGACCATGTATTGAGGGATGTCTCTGACTTCTCTGCTGCATATTTGGATGATGTGGTTATTTTCAGCCAATCCTGGGATGAGCACAGGTTCCATCTACAACAAGTCTTGCAGCGGATCAGAGCAGCTGGTCTGACAATCAACCCAAACAAGTGTGCTATCGCTCAAAGAGAAGTGAAGTACCTGGGCTACATCATCGGATTTGGGAAGATTAAGCCACAGCTGGGGAAAGTCGAGGCCATACAGTCGTTCCCTGTGCCCACTACCAAGAAGAAGATGAGAGGGTTTCTGGGGTTGGTCGGTTGGTACCGTAAGTTTGTGCCTCATTTTGCAGACAGGGCGGTGGTGTTGAATGACTTGACCAAAGCCTCTGCTCCCAACAAACTGAAATGGACAGATGAGTGTGACAAAGCTTTCAGAGACTTGAAAGATGCAGTCTGCGCTAACTCTGTCCTTCACACTCCAGACTTTGACAAGCCCTTCACCCTGCAAACCGACGCTTCTGGAGTGGGCCTAGGGGCAGTGCTGCTGCAGGAGGAGGAGGGAGACTGGAGACCTGTTTTCCTGAGTCGCAAGCTGCTGGATAGAGAGACTAGATGCTCCACGGTTGAAAAGGAGTGTTTGGCAATGAAGTGGGCCATTGACTCCCTCAGATATTATCTGCTGGGGCGGCACTTCGTTTTGGAAACAGATCACAGAGCTCTACAGTGGTTGCATCGCATGAGAGATGCAAACATGCGCATCGCTGGATGGTACCTGGCACTGCAGCCGTATGACTTCACCGTTCACTACAGGTCAGGGAAGACCAATATAGTGGCGGACTTTCTGTCCAGAGTG